GTGGTGCACTCAGGCACATGGATGCTGTAGCTGTCCTGGGGTGACACTGCACATAGTGACAGGCTCTGGCCCAGGAGGGCCTGTGGCAGATACAATCCCCAGGGGAGACCCGGCTCCCTGGACAGTGACAATCTGAGCCCAAGAAGCAGGTCCTGGTCTGGTACCATGGCCCCCTCCCTGCTGGCACCGGGGGCAAGCAGTGGAGCACATTTAAGGGGATAAATCCGTTCAGTTCTTAATAAATCTGTCCAGCTGTCTACTCTTATTCTTCTTTGGTGTCTTCTTTCCCCCAAGCCAAGCCAAAGGAGGAAATCCTTTCTCCTCCATGTTTCTTCTCGGGTTGGGCTGGAGGGGCTAGGGGGGCGGGGAGGGGACAAGTCCCAGTGGTGGCTGGCTCTTGTGGAGTATTGCTAAGGGGAACAGGATGTACCTCCTTATCCACCTCCCAGATGTAATGACAGGAAAGACCTGACCTTTACCTTCTTCTCGGCTACCTGCAAGGTACGGTAAGTCCAGGAGCCAGGAAATGCCTCTGTGGGGAGCAGCTGTGCCAGTGGCTCGCCCTTAGCCAAATTCAGTGACCTTCTGCCCAGGGCTGGGCACCTTGCTTCCTTTTCCTCCTTTCTGTGCCAGTGCAGCATTTGAAGGTTGTACCTGGTTAAGGGTGGGAAGTGGGGATTAGGGAGGTCGACTGCCCTTCCTGTTGTGTTCCCAGACAGGCAGTGCTGTGAAATGTGAGTTTTGATGGATGCCTTGGTCAGTGCTGAGTCACTCGGGGAGGCTCCAGCCTCCCTAAGCAGTGGGAAGTGGGTTCTGCATGTGTGAGGCCAGCACGGCCCCTTTTGTGGCACCAGGGAGCAGTGGCATGAGCACCAGCTGGGACATCACCTCTGCCTCCCCAGGCAGAGCAGGACAGAGCTGGGAGTGATGGATACTCCCCTTTACCAGGGGTAGGTGGTCAAGAGTACCCACAGAGACAGCACAGCCAGAGCTGGAAATTCCCGTGGTAATGGACACCGCACCATGGGATGGCATTGGAATGGGTTGGGACGGTGTGAGATGGCATTGGATGGCATTGCAGGGTACAACAACATACAGTCTATTAGACAAGATGGCACAGCACAGCCAGGGCCTGCAGCCCCCATCCTGCGCCCAGGACAGCACAGCTGGCTCAGCACAGCCAGACTCTGCCCCAGGGCTGCCCTCACCTCCCTAGATGCAGCACCACAGGGCACGAGCAGGGACAGGGCGAGCAGCAGCAGCATCCCAGGGTGGTGGCAGTGGTGACTGTGTGTGGTGCCTGGGCTCTGCCTGTGCTGCTGCTCCACACCCACTCGGCCCCTCTTTAATAGCAGAGGGGTCTGAGCCTCCTGCCAAGGGACACCCATGGGATAGGATAGCCCCATCCTCTCTGGGGATGCACAGGGGATCTGTGTAGGGCAGGGACAAGGAGCTCACCTGATGTCGGATAGAGCTGGACAGAAGAGCATGAAGAACATCACAGGGAGGGCAGTAGAGCTCTGTGAACACCACAAGCAGAGCAGGACATCTCTGAGGACATCACAGTGAAGGGCAGGAGGACATCAAAGGAAGTACTATAAGCTCTTTCTGTCCACTTCAGAGCTTAGTGTTCCCTAAGTCCTTAGCAGCCTTTAGGGCTGGAATGGGAAGCAACCTATCTTACTTGCTGTGAGCATTCTTCCCCCACTTGTCTGTCCTGGGAGCTGGTGCAGGGGATCACTGTGGTGGCCCAGGGCTGTCAGCGGGTGACAAATGGCCTTTTCTTCACTCCCCAGGGGAGTGTTCCTGCAACTACATGGGTAAAGAAATAACAATACCCAGGAAGGACAGGTTGTCCTGGATGCAGCACTCCCAGAGCAGCTGGTGCCATTCTCACATGGCAGAGCCATGGAAATGGATGGAGATGCAGTCCTTTAGGGTCACTGTGGCAAGACTGATGGGACAGGGATGCCAGCACATCAGTGAGGAACACCCGGGGTTCCCACCTCCATTTGTCTTCTGTTGACAGCTTCCAACTATAGCAGTGATGTCCCAAACCAGCTGGCAAGGAACAGGAGCAGGCACTGAAGCCAGCACAGCTCCCGGCTGGACTGTTATTGCTTTGATACATCAGCACTGTTCCTGAACCTCAGGCAATGTGCCTTCCAAAGGTTGGCATTCAGTCTTCATACAGAGATATTTCTGATTTCCTCCACTTTGGGGTGTATCACCTCAATAAATCTTGCACCTGATAGGCTCAGCTTTCATCAGCTTCTTCATGGATGTAGCTGAGAGTCACAGGCATTTTGCCTGCACCATTGTTTTTCAAGGCTGACTCAACCACAGTTTGAGCAGCAAGTTAAATTGTTCATTAACTATTTCTTACAGTCTTCTTACTTATTGCTCACCAACCCTTATTTTTCACAGCGCTCTGGACATACATAGGTTTTAAACCACAGCCCTGCTGATTTTTAACTTCTTCAGTGCTCCCTGCTTTGGATTTCTTCCCTGCCTGCTGATTGCCCCCACTTCCTGCTGTGCCAGAGCTCAGGAATAGAGAATTTACTCCTGGTGATGATTGCCAGCTCCAAGCCACTTTGTTCTCTGATCTTTGGAGGATGCAAACCTCATGGAGACACCTTGGTGCTCAGCTGAGACCTGTCAAGAAATGCTTGAGCACTGAACGTGCAAGATGAGCCATAGGGATTGTTAAGTACAGGAAAAATAAAGATTATGTGAACAAATAAACAATATTGTTTGTGTGATGCTAAAATAAACTTAGAGCTGTGAGTGAGCTGTGGGCTGCCATCAGCAGCATGGAGACTTCGTGTTGTCCATTCTCGGGGTTCCAGCAGGAGCTCCCTGAAACATGGTGATGGTGAGGGGGCGATGGAGAAGGGATGATGTCTGCCCCTCCTGCCTCCTGCAACCTCCCCAGATTGAACTCACTTTTTATCCCAAACATTGGCAATGCTCTGGGCAGCACCAGCTTGCCGAAAAACAGTCAGAACAAACGGCAGCTATGTGGGAAAACACACCTTGTTATGTAGTTGATTTCTGAGACAGCAAACACTGGGCAAGAATGTCCAGAGGGTAGCCAGCTCTCTCGACAAGGATCTCTTCCAGACAGAGTGCAAGAGGGCTGTAGGGCTCCTACAGGGAGGACAGGGGGGTGTGGAGATGCAAGCAGAAGAAATATGATGCTCTCCAACCTGGATAGCAATGGAATTTACTGTCAGATAATAAACAGGGCTCAAATGTGAAATTTAAGAGAAAGTAAAGACTGACAAAATAAAAATTGTTTATTTTTGAGACATTGCAAAGAGCTGCCTTGTCTCCAGCTCACCAAAAGTATTATTTTCTGGTGAATAGGCTCCATCAGCTTTTCCTATGATGACTGGGGGAACTAAAACATGTATTTTAGGAGATCGCCTTGAAAGCCATTTAGAAATAGGTGAGAAACTTTGGGCTGAATCCATTCACTTCAGCCTCCCTGGCCAGCAACAAGCATAACATAAGGTGAATTATGAAAACATGTTCTTAGAGTTGTCTAAGAAACCCTGTGCAAATACAGATTTTGTCACGATAAAATGCAATGTCCCAGATATTCACTGAGTGTTGACTTTACATTAAGTAATTTCCTTCCAATACAAACCGGCTTGTAAAAACAACAATTTAACATGCACGTCAGACCTTTGTAGATCCATCAGTATGGGGGAGGGGGCGGGTAGGGAAAAGCCGAGTCCCAAAAGAATCTGGGTGGTGGGCGGGTTTGCATGAGCGTGGCTGGTGAGGAAGAGCAGGGTGAGCCTGCAACCAGTCCTGAGGTGATCAGAGTCAAGGATCCTCAAGACCTGGGCACAGAACCGGTGTGGCAAATGAGTGACAGCTCCAGAGAGGGGTTTTCCCCGTCGATGACCATTTCCCAGCAGTCACTGATCAGCAGGAGGCAGGGCCTCCCTGCAAGGTGCCGAGGGAGCAAGCATAGGCACTTTCAGCACTCACTTCTGGGAAAGATTGCAGCAATTACCCCCTCCTATGGCTCGGAACCACAGATTTGGAAACACCCACATTGCGTAATGCCCTGGCCAGAGCTGCGACCCACAGCCTGGGTACCACCCCCCCACCTAGCGGCAATAAAAAGGAGAGGAAGCAGGAGCATCAGCAGACACCTGCAAGGACCACATCCCCAGGTCCATCAGCTGTCTGTCTGCTGCAGAGATGGTGCAAGCAACTCCCTTCCTCGTCGTGCTCTTCCTGGCACTGGGGGCTCCCGGCCTGGCTGTAAAAAAGGTACAGTCAGGGTGGGATGCACAGGGTGGGGTGGGCAGGGGGCTGTGGCTGCCGGCAGCAGTGCTGAGTTCTCTCCTCTCCAGTGCTCCCTGACCGGGCGCTGGGTCAATGACCTGGGCTCCAACATGACTATCGAGACGGTGCATGCAAACGGTGCCTTCTCCGGCTCCTACCACACGGCTGTCACAGCCACCACAAACGAGATCAAGGTGTCACCACTGCAGGGATTCATGCAGAAGGGTCCTAACCAGAAGGGCCAGCCTACCTTCGGCTTCACTGTCAACTGGAGCTTTTCAGGTACTTTTTTCCCACCCTACTTATGGTATCCTGGACCTCCCCTGCCCTCCCTGTTCTGCTCTTGAAGTTTTTATGCCCTCCCTGCAGTGTCCGTGCTGATTCCCTGCCTTTCTCTGCACCATCCCCACTGCTCTCCATCCCCCCTCCCTCAGGCTCCCCCATCCTTGTCCCTGGAGCTCCTTGGTTGCTGTCAGCTTCCAATCCCAGGGTGCAGGAGAGGCAGCAGGGGCTGGATCTTGCACCATCTGCCCATCTCCGTGTGACACCCCCAGCCCTCGGAGCCCTCCTGCCTGCTTTCCCCATCCTTGGTGTCCCCAGGGGCCAGGGACAGCAGGGGTCTGCTATCCCTTGTACTGGGTCAGCCACTGACCTGCCACCTTGGCCATACTCCCCTCCACCTCCTGTCCTGTCCCCACAGACTCCATCACTGTTTTCACGGGCCAGTGCTTTGTGGATTATGATGGAAAGGAGGTGTTGAGGACCATGTGGCTGCTGAGATCACGTGTGGAGAGCATTACTAATGACTGGAAAGCCACCAGGTGAGCCCCCTGTCCCTGCACAGGTCCCCTCTGCACGCCTGAGGGGCTGGGGCTGACATAAGGTAGTGGTTGAGGTTGCTTACAGAGCCACTCACAAACATGCTGGCAAAAGCAAGTTTTATATCTGTTCTAAAAGCACAGCTTAACAAAGCTCGATGTCAAGGTTCACTTCATTGCTTTGTGCATGGATAAAACACAGAAATGAAAAATACCATCCCTGATGTGCTGCCGAGGTGCAAACGTGGTGGAGGAATGCAGGGCTGGGTGCACTTTTGGACACGGTCACGTCCGTCCCTTATATCTCCTCCTCTGTGTCCCCACAGGGTCGGCACCAACATCTTCACCCGCCTGCAGCTCCCGGAGTGAGGGCGGCAGCGGGGGTTCCCAGGCCAGCTGCAGTGCCAGGGATGTGGCTCCTGCAGCACCACCTGCTTCTCCCAATAAAGCTTTGCTGCAAATACTCACAGTCTCCTGTCATGTTGTTGCAAAATGTGGGATAAGTGAAATATTTCTTGAAAAGGTTTGTTCTTTGATGTCTGATCTTTTTATGCTTTCAAGCCTCATCAACAAGAAAGAAGATCTAGTATGTGAAACATAGAGCAGCAAACAAGCTATAAGCTATGGACAGGAGCTGGAAAGAGATATTACTTTATAGAATTGCCTTGCTAAGGTTTAGGTCTTAATGGGCTTTAATGATCCCAGACCTGGGTGGAGGTTACAAAACTTGGGATATACCACTGGTAATGGACATGAAGAATGCAGAATTTACAGGACATTTGGCAAAACCCCAAGATAAGAAAAAACTAATAAAGACAACTGGATCAGCAAAAACTGTATTGAATCAGCTCTGATGAGGTGAAAGATAAATTCTGGCAGGGGCAGATCATGACTTTTGGCCCACTGAGTCAAGAAACCCACCAACTCAAGAGAAGGCTAAAGGCTGAGCCCCCAGATTAATTAGACACCAGACACAATCAGACACAAGATAATTTTTAACCAATAGAAGAGAGAAGAGTAATTAATAAGAGAACTAAATAACTTGTAGCCAATGAACATTAATGCCTTTGTTTGCTAAAATGTGTAAATAGCAAAATGTTTTGATAGTTGGTGTGCTTGATCTTTGGAATAACACTGATGACCCAGGCTTGTGGAACTAAAATAAATAATCAATGTCTCTCTTGGATGTGTAATTACTGCCTTGTTATGCACCAGGTAACAACACACATTCCCAATACCCTCCACGGCGTCCTATGGTCCCTTCGGTCACCGTATCAGGGAGGCCTGATGTGTGTCCCCTGCTGTGACCCTCCATGGCACAGAGTCCTCCTTCGCAGTCCCCCATCCCGCCATGATCCTTGGGACCCTCCAGAGGGCAACAGGAGCCCATTCAGCCTAGATCAGTGGCTAGTTGCCCATCTCCCACCAGGTATCCTTTGGCAGGAGGCCCAGTTTTGGCAGTCACTGCCCAGCCACAGTCCCCTCTGCTATAAAAGGGGCCGGGCGGCAGCACAGGCAGAGCCCAAGCACCACACACAGCCATCACCACCATGGCACCCTGGGATGCTGGCTGCTCGTCCTGGCCCTGCTCGTGCCCCACGATGCTGCTGCATCCAGGGAGGTGAGGGCAGCCCTGGGGCAGAGTCTGGCCATGCTGAGCCAGCTGTGCTGTCCTGGGTGCAGGGTGGGGGGATGAGGGACTTTACTCCCTGTCCGTGCCATCCTTTGGGAATTGCCAAGGGGTGCCCACTCCTGCTATGCTTTCTGGTGCCATGCCATGCCCTGCCATGCTGTGCCACTCCATGCTGTGCCGTGCTGTTCTGTGCCACGCTGTGCCACCCTGGCGAGCAGGTGCAGGGCTGTCAGGGCTGTATGTTTTTACCATGCCATGCTGTGCTATTCTGTGACACCCCAGCACACAGTGTTTGTCTGCTGCTGTTGTGTCCTGCTGTGCCATGCCACACCATGGTGCAGTGTCCATTACCAAGGAGGCTGCCAGCTCTGGCTCTGCTGTCCCTGGGGCTGCTGTTGGTCACCTCCTGCTGTGATAGGGTGATGCAATAGGGTGACCCAGTACTCTCAACTCTGCTCTGTCCTGCCCAGGGACGGAGAGGTGCTGTCCCAGCTGGTGCCCATGTGCTGGTCTCATGCCCCACACAGAGGGGCCATGCCATGGGACACACGTCCCACTGCTTAGGGAGGCTGGGGTAGGGGAAAGGAGGAACTGTGGCTCAGCACTGCCCAAGCCACACACACGACCCCTGGTCCCCAGTGTGACCGGCCGGGCCTGTGGAGAAACGAGCTGGGCTCCAATATGACCACCTTGGCCATGAACACAGCTGAGACCTTCTCAGGCTCCTACCACACCACAGTGGCAGCCACCAACAAGCAGATCCTCATGTCACCCCTGCAAGGGGTCCAGGAGCATCCCAGTGCCAAGAGACACCCCACGTTCAGCTTCTCCGTGCAGTGGCAGTTCTCAGGTACAGCAGTGACAGTGATCCCCTGCCATGCTGCGAGTGGGGACCCCCCTGTCTGGTGCCCCAAATTCTCTGTGGCTGTGGGCACAGATTGGCCACAGCGCACATTCCTGCCACTGGAAGTGGTGGTAGGAGAGCTGTCTGTCTGTGGTGGGTTTCAGGGCTGTCTGGAAGAGATGATGGGAGTGTCCATCTGTCTGTCCAAGGGGCATGGCAGGGCTGATGCCCAATTCTCTGTTCAGGTGATATGGAAGCAGTCCACCTGGCCAGTCTGGCAGGGAAGTCCATCTCTCTCTCCACATGCAGCAGATGGTGTTTGTCTGTCTGTTTTCCAGAATCAGGTGCCCGTGCTTCCCTGTCTTGAGGTGCAGGCTCTCACCCAGCTCTGCCTCTCTTGAACCTTGCCAGACTCCACCACTGCCTTTGTGGGCCAGTGCTTTGTGGATCATGTGGCTCCTGCGGGAAGAGGTCCTGTCACACAAGGACACCTGGAAAGCCACAGGGTGAGCTCTGCCCCTGCCACCTCACACCACAGCCCTCGCTCCCATCCTGCTGACACATCCTCCCTGCAGGGTCGGCGCTTCCACCTTCACCCACATGAAGTGATGGGAATAGGGACCAGTACTGCCTGCACCCTGCTGTCCTTCTGCATCCCCAAGTCTCCCCACTATCCCAGTCCCAAGCTGGGCTTCTGGCAAGGAAACACACCCTCATCTTGCCCTGCTTCTTCCCAATGCCTCCCAGCAACCTACTGATGGGGCTCCCCATTCCCATGCTTGCTGCCTTCACACATGGAGGCAAATAAACCTTTCTCCACACGGCAGAGAGCTTTCTCTCTTGCATCCCTGGTATACTCTGTGGCCATCGCGCGAGAAAGCTGCTGGTGGGAGTCAACAAGGAAGTGTTTTGAAGGGGCTGGGAAAGATGGGGTTGGGGGACAGCAGCTGGGTAATTCTGCTTCCTGATCATGGCTTCAGGATTCAGAGGGTGCCTTCTTGCCTGTGCACCCGTTTGGGAGATTCACAGGGGCTCTGTGCTGGGTGGCTCCAGGCAGCACCCCCAGTGTGGGGCAGCAGGATATCCACAGCTGAGGGTAGGGGTGAAAGCCGCATACAGGCAAGCCAGCACTCTCACCTGGCCTCATCTGCACCCCTGTCTGCCCCATTTTCCCATCAAACTCCATTTCCAGCTACTGCTCTGATTGGGAGTCTCAGTACTGCACGCACATACGGGGGAGGGGAATCTGGGGTGTTGGGATGGTCCAAAATCCAGGCTGTATGTTGAGGGGATCAGGAGAGAGACCTGAAACTGCCTGTTCCTAGGCAGTTCTTGGCAAAAAGGTACATTTGCAAGCCTTGCCCGGATTGAAATCAGGCTCACAATGTACCTTTCAAGCCAGCAGAGAAAGAGATGGAGAAGTGCCATTCAGGAGATTCCACAGAGTCTTTATTTCTTCTACATAGTAGGTCCGGTCCGGCAAATCCAACGGGTGGGGTTTTAAGGGGACTTTTTATAGGGTTTAAGGGTTTTGTATTTTGCACCAATTAACAAAGGAATTCTATAACTAACCAATCTACAAAAGACTTTAGGGGAAAAGGAACCAATTATCTAAGAGGAAAATGGGCCACTAAAATTACAGAAATATAACACAGGGGTCTACGGGGGGTGGGGGGGGTGAGATGCTTCTTGGTATTAGACATTCTAAGTAAACAATTTCTTATCTAAGGTATTGTCTTCCATGGGGCCCTATCTTGGGAGCTTGCCTTTTCAGAGATGGTTTCTGCTCCCTCCACATGGGACTCCAGGGGAAGCTGCTGGGCAGACCAGGTGGCTAAAGGCAGATACTGAAGGTGTTTGTGATGGGTTGACTTGGGAAGAAGAAAGTCAGAGTGAAGTTCTCTTTAAGAGAGCTTCCTCTGTGGGGGTTGGAACAACTTCAACAGCCAATGGAAAAAAGTTAGTTCGCTCCGTGAACACACATTTCAAAGGAGGTAATCCGGAATTGAGGTTCTTTGTCTTTCCAGCGGCAGTGCAGGTAACGCCAATCCAAGCTCCCCCTGCTATGCTGGGGGAGGCTTGGGAGGCCGCTTGGGCCCCGTTTGTAAACGAGGAGACCCAATGGCCGGGAGGAGGAGAGGCCCGTTGATAAGACTTCCATGGCTTTCTCCTCCTCGGGCCTGCGGCTCTGAGGGGGGCCCCGGCTCCTGCTGCTGGCTCGGAGCAGTTTCGGAAGGGCCAGGCCTGCCCGGCCCCCACACGGCCTGGGGGAGGCAGC